AAATTTACCGTCCGGATAAGTGAACCAAATTATAACGTAAAAATACGTTTTGTAGTAAAAAAAAGAGCCGTCCGGATACGGAACGCGGAATTCCGGATAAATGAGTCAAAATTACATTAAAAAAATCCGTTCCCGAGAAAAATCGTCCGGATATCTGGTGTCCGGATATCTGAAGGTCCACTGTAATCGTAAGGAATACTTTTATACGCAAGAATGAAATTTTCGCGAGCTCATTTTCTCATGTAATTATGCGAAAATAAAGTTCCCGCAAATAAAGCGTGATTTACAGTAATTATCCCATCATCTCCTCATGCAGTTTTAACTTTTATTCCACGACCACATATCATATATAGGGCTATTCTTATTATTCAAAATTCATGTCAAAACTTGATATAAATTTTTTAAAACAATATACCTCTGCTAATTGATGTTAAGATTCAGCTTATAACACAGTGTAAATTACAGTTCCGGAAAGCGTTATTACCTGAGTGCATAGGCTACCCCTCCAACTATACCAATAATGATAGGCCACCAAGACTCAAAGATAGCCTCAGGATTGGGCAAATTTGGCATAGATGGTGGTTGGCTAGACATTTTTGGATATTTGAAATGGAATAATTATCTTTTGGTTACTGAGATGGCATAGAATTTTCAGTAAACGTGACAGAAAGCGTGAAGTCTCAAAAAAACAGGATGTAGCAAGACGTTCCCTAAAATAAAAAACCTATTCGGAATCAACATATCTTTTGGTTGATTTCAAGAAATCGTGGTGTCTTTCTATTCTTTTGAATATAATCAACCGTTATCATTATTTAAAATATTTTTGTTTTACAAAACATGCTTTTTAACAATGAATTTTATTTATTTCCAAGATATTTTCAAATTCGGAAATATTTTATCCTCTCCCATCCACACCTTTAATTTTAATTGTAATTACCTTACTTCCGAGTAAACTTTCGTAACACGACATAGTCTCGTTCAACCAGACGCTCGGCTGTCTCCGTAAACTCCGACCAGCAGAGAGTCTGGTAAAGAATCACGTAAGCGTTTGTAACCGCCAGAGGACGCTATCTTGTTTTCATTTTAAAAATCCCTTTTGTAAGCAAACGTTATAAACGTTTCTTCTGCTTGATTGTTACTTTATATTAATAAACTGGCCTTTAATCAGAGATACCAAACGAGAAAACATAAAATCAATCGAAGGAATGTGTATTACGCAGGTAGGGCTACAACTACTTTCACTTTTGCTTTCGTACAGAATATTTGCAAGACGTAATAAAACACACTTACCTATAACTGGTGGGCATTACTGTAAACAATTCCTCTCTAACGGTTTTAACTTTTAGACATATAACTTTCACATCTTTAAGTTATTTTTCTGCTGATTTATCATGTATTTGTTTAAATCTTGTGGGTGTGTTCTTTTCAGCCAATCAAAAACTTTACCAGAATTTCGGTAAGCCTCGCTTTGGCGTTACAATCGATATCACGTATCTTTACCAGACCCTCTGGGTGGTCGGAGATTTACGGAGACAGCCGAGGGTCTGGTTGAACGAGACTAAACACGACACTGTGACTTTCACTTGAAATTTTTTAAATTTTAAAACTTTGGACAGCAAAATGTAATGTTTCAGGCTTAAAACCTCTTTGTGAAACAATTAACTAATGGTTGTTACCAGTGAGTCTTGTGATTATCTTGAACATGTTTAATGTTAGCTAGTCCTATGAGTATACCAAAGAGCAGGTCCAACAATGTCTTGATTAAGCTATATAGCTTTATTAAGCTATTTAAAATAGCTTAATAAAGTTATTTATATGCAGTTTTTAACAAAAACGTTTTTAGTGAGAAATAAACAAAAAGTCACAAGTAATTGACTATTCATATATGTACTTTGGGCTATCAAAAAAACAACCTAAATCATAGAAAGTTCTAACATTGCTGTTGTTGAATACTTTAAAGAAAAAGATGAATTTCCATTGTTTGGGTAACTGCACTGGTGGAAAGTGTCCTATTGAGTGCGATGAGGCGTGGATAAGTATGATTGCTTCTCATTGTGTTGAACTGTTACCAATCAATTATCTTGTTGGCTATAACTGACCTCTTTTATACAGTCAATTCTCGAATTATCGCCATTCGATTCATCGCCATTTTCGCAATACCGCCATGATTTCCCAAGAACGTTTTTCCTGCTATATAAAATTCTCTTTATAATGCCAAATTTGCATACCGCCATCGGCCACCCTGTTTTCACAACAAATGTCCATTTTTAAGTGTCAATTATCTCGATATACCGCCACAGTTGCGTGTGGTCAGTGAAGCGCGGCTAATTGGTTGATGCTGTCCCTGTAAAGCATGCAAATGCAGACGAGGAACATGCAATTAAGTAATTTAATTAGAATTAAATAAACAATTTTAACATGAACTGTTATAATAATTTTGTTTTCTGTTTTATAAAAATCATTTAGTCACGGTTTTGCCAGGAGCGGTTGTTGTTAAAGTACGTACGCCGATAACGATATTATTTGATGATCTATGCTTTAAACAATGCAAAGTTTGCTGAAAAAATTATTATACGGTATAAATTGTGAACGTTTCATTAACAATGATGCCATAAACAATTAATTAATTCAAGAATAAATTTTTATGTTCTATCGGCAATATATCATGACGATCGACCCAGCAGGTTTTTTTTCCCCCAAATATCAGATGTGCAGATTTACATGCATACACATGTACTTCTCTTTATTTCATAACTGCGCAAAAAAATTATTTGAAGAATTTTCAATCAGAAATGTTATATACATGTACATGTAACAATAAGAATAGAAATGCTAAATGGTATTTCAAAGAACGGTAACTCTACTTCTTGTTTTCTAAAAGACGAGAAATTCAATTCATCGCCAAAAATCGTTATACCGCCATGATTTCTAAATTACAAAAGGTGGCTGTTTATCGAGAATTAACTGTAATTTCATTCAAGAAATAACTGTGTGGTCACTCATCAATAGCCCCCCAAACTTTTAAAAATTTGAGTACAAAGTCTCTCAAGGAGACACAATTTGGTGAGTGATTTTTACATGCATTGCATTCAGAAGAGTTCAAAGTTTAATATTTTCACTGCACCAAGATGCGACTTTTTGCACATGCTAAAATAATAAAACATTTTGGAAAAAATTGTGATAAAATAGCTTAATCAAGCTATTCCGAATAGTTTAATAAAGCTATATAGCTAAATCAAGCTATATAGCTTAATCAAGACATTGTGCCGGACCTGAAGAGCATCAAGCCCACACACCCTCTTTTGTTGTTTTTTTTAATATAGGCTTTCCAGTTCTTTAGTGAACATATACACTTGATAAGCAAGGATGAATTTCCCCTTTGTGTATTCGACCTCATTCATGCTCATTCTGGGCCTGTTTGTGTTTCACATAAAGATGATGTAATCTACTTTTGAATTTAGAATAAATTTAGTAATGTTTTTTGAGATAATGAATTTCAAGTAAAGTGTCCTATAGATAACAATGCACACTGTCCAAAGGCGGATCCAGGGCTGGCACGCTGGGGGTGGCCCCTTATCCTAAAATTAAGGAAAAAAACATCTCTTATTTGTAATAGTTTGTTAGCGGCCTGGACCTTCACCAGGGCCTTGTCTTAGAACCACTGTGGGCTTAGTGCAGTCCCCAGACCACCTGCCTTCTACTACCCCCCCCCCCCCCCCACCCCCCATTATGAAATTCCTGGATCCACCACTGCTGTCACACTTTCATATTTCATGGTCATGGGATGGTTTGCTCCCATGGTTCAGGCTGGTATGCATGTTTAGGTCTGTTCCGTTCCGTGTTTTAAATATGGCCAGAGATGGTTTGGGCCACATTGTTATGCTCAAAATAAACCTTTTATAGCACATAGCACAGTAATGAGGGTTTTAAGTTGCATTTATAAATCATTTTAAGATATGATATGCATATAAATAATTTTAACCATTATATTTTGGTTTATTTTTTAAAGAGTTCAAAATTCATTAAAAATAGACCTTTTTCTTTAAAAATTGATATACCGTATAAGTAGAATTTTTAGTGAGGATTTAATTTTGGCATTATTAGCGAAGGTGTTAAGATTGCTAAAAATTAATGTCGCTAAAAATTAATTGCATTTTATTTGTAATAGCTTCTTAAGTTAGCATTTCAAAATCGCTAAAATTACCTCTCAATAAAAATAAATTACTATTTTTTAAGGAGAAATCGCTAAATTTGTGTCTCGCTAAAATTTCCACTTATATGGTATAATTTTCATTTTTTGCAGAGTGTTACTTATGATGAGACATATCAGAAGGGGGTGTGTTACGTAACAGAAACATGTCCTTCCCTAACTGGGTTATCCATGCCAGTGCTCTGGGAACAGTGGCCCTAGGTTCTCTTCTCTTAAGGTAATCGTTCAAGACATGTCAACAAAAAATTGAATATCATTTGAAATTATATGCTTTTTGACATTCACAAACTTTTATATCAAAAGTGCATTTGAAAAATTTATTTTAATTATGAAGAATGAAAATATATTCAGTGTATATCCTCTGTCGCTTTCTTGGGTAGCCATTACATTAATGAAAACATTTTCATACAGGTTCCCATGCAGCTATTGTTTTTCATTTCAGTTCTTTTTTTTTCATTATGCCATATGGCTCACCAGGCAGTATGACAAAATGAACAGTAATGCATGCTAACTTTAGTTCACTTGCTACATTGTTTAATATACATGTATACATATATATAGTGACAGTCATATTTATATACATTTATAGTCATACATATTTAGAACTATTCAAATTCATGATTGTAAGATTATAGTAGATGAGATTTTATTTTTCTTCCCTTAGAACTAAATACATTCAGTCCTTTTGATTTCTCTGTATTTAAGAGATTACCTTTCTGGTAAGGTGTATAAAGGAGAGGAAATGTTACTGGGGAAAACTGCTATAGTGACAGGGGCTAACTCAGGGATAGGAAAGGAGACAGCAAAGGACTTTGCTAGAAGAGGTATACAGGTTCCACCAAACGATGTCATAAAAATTGTCAACAATTTACAATTCTTTTGGCATGGTCAGATTAATTTTTTTTATGCAGATAGATTTTAAAGTTAATGATAACAAAACATTTTGAACAATTCTGTACAGTTTAGAAATGTCATCTTTTAATTAAGGTCTTCCGTTTCAGACGGAAGACCTTATAGTGATTCTACTGTTTCTTTTTCTTTTTCTTTTTCCTATTATTATTTTTGTTCCCTTTTTAAAAGCACGATTTCTCAGAGATGACAGGACAGATTCTCATGAAATTTTCAGGGGTGATAGAGTGTAAAAATATCTTTCAGATGCAGTTTTCAGTTTTTCAAAATTCACTTCCGGTCGTCAGATATGTCCGATTTCCGCTTTTTTCAAAAAAGTTTTGTCTGAGTCATATCTCAGAAACGGTAAAAGATTAAGACGCCAAACTTATATGAGTAATAGATCATGATTAGTAGGCATGTCCATTTGGGATAAGATTGTCCGCCGTCACTTCCGGTCGTCACAGGAAGTGATCAAAGAAATCGAAAATTTCAACTTTTCATTTATGAAACTTTTTTTGAATCACATTATAGCATCTTATTTGTAGTTTCGAAATATGTCAGTCCCACCGGAAACAAAAACGACAACTTCCGGTTATAAGAGAAAAACTGCATTTTTTAAGTATTTTTCTTTCCCATAAATATTTTTTATAGATAAAGTATTTGTAATGATTTTTGGATATGTTATTCAAACTGCAAATGTCTACAGTAACGTCAAATATCTTTGTAAAATTCACTTCCGGTCGCGTGATTTCCTGTCCTCAAAATGAGAAGTTATAATAGCTAGATCTCGTAAACGGAAAGGGATTAAGACACTAAACTTATACAAGTGGTAGATCTTGATATGTAGGCAAAACCATTTGGGGTAAGATCGTCCGCCGTCACTTCCGGTCGTCACAGGAAGTTATCAAAGAAATCGAAAAATTCAACTTTTCTTTATTGAAACCTTTTTTGCATTACATTATAGCATCTTATTTGTAGTTTCGAAATGTATCCGTCCCAACGGAAACAAAAATGACAACTTCCGGTTCAAGGAGAAAAACTACATAAATTGAGTATTTTTCTTTCCCATAAGTACTTTTAATAGATAAAGTATTTGTAATGATTTTTGGATATGTTATGCAGACTACACACGTCTACAGTAATGTATAATATCTCAGTAAAATTTCCTTCCGGTCGCATGATTTCCTGTCTTCAAAATCAGAAGTTATCATAGCTAGATCTCGTAAACAGTTAAAGATTAAGACTCCAAACTTGTATGAGTAATAGATCTTGATATGTAGGCAAAACCATTTGGGGTAAAATTGTCTGCCGTCACTTCCGGTCGTCACAGGAAGTGATCAAAGAAATAAAAAAAAATCAACTTTTCTTTTTTGAAACTTGTTTTGCATCACATTATAGCATCTTATTTGAAGTTTCGAAATGTATAAGTCCCAACGGAAACAAAATGACAACTTCCGGTTAAAAGAGGAAAACTACATAATTTGAGTATCTTTCTATCCCTTAAATTTTTTTTTATAGTTAAAGTATTTGTAATGATTTTTAGATATGTTATTCAGACTGCAAATGTCTACAGTAATGTCTAATATCTCAGTAAAATTCACTTCCGGTCGCGTGACTTCCTGTCCATAAAATCAGAAGTTATCATAGCTAGATCTCGTAAACGGTAAGAGATTAAGACACCAAATTAATAGGGATGGTAGACCTTGATAAGTAGACACATCTTTTGAGTCCGCCGTCACTTCCGGTTGTCACAGGAAGTGATCAAATAAATCAAAATTTTAAATTTTTCTTAATGGAATCTTTCTTAGTATTACCTTATAGCATCTTACTTGTAATTTCGAGATATGTAGTCCCACTTGTAAGAAAAACGACGACTTCCAATTATGAGAGAAAAATTGCATAAATTGAGTATCGCACTATCCCATAAATATCTTTTATAAGAAAGTATTTGAAATGATTTTGGGACATTTTATTCAGACTGCAAATGTCTAGAGTAACCTCAAATATCTTCTTTTAAAATTTACTTTCTGCAGGTCACGTGATTTCTTGTCCTCAAAATGAGACATTTGACCCTTACTCAAAAAGTAATAAAGAAATATACATTACCTTTATCTAGATTCAGCTTCAAGTGTTAATCTCAAGTTCACCTCTCTCTCTCTCTCTCTTTGATGACCTTGACCTTTGACCTTGATAAATGACATTGACCTTTGACCCCATTGACCCAAAGGTCACAATCAAGCTTAAGTATGTGGAGGTATTAACAACTCTCATTTTAACAAATGCTTATGAAATACCCACCCCCTCCCGTCCCTTAAAAAAATCAATAGCAACATCTTCTAACTCTGAAAAGACACCACAGATCGACATAAGATTAAGGATTTGAGTAGAAGACACCTTAAAGAAAGTGTCCTAAGAGTTTTACGGTGAGTCTCTTGAGTATGATGAAATTCTACGGAATATCGGCAAAAACTGCATTTTTTTCTGTCTGAAATTTAAATTCTGATGGTCATAAAATGAATTAAAGCTTGCATTGGCTATTTCTTCATTTGTTGTTAATATCATTCGATTCTCCTGCTCTAATACGACATTTTAATACCAAGTATTCTAGATTTCTTTGGTATGTGGAATTTATTTCAATTTTATTTAGATTTAATATTAATTGAATGAATCTTGATTTCATTTGAAATTTGATTTTTTTTTTCTAGAATAACACAATCTTATAAGAAATAGCGACTTTCAGCATAGTAAAAAGCAATACACGTTTCTTCCCTGTGTTTCCCATCTAGAATTACCTATTTGGAATTTATTTATGCTACTTTCAATGAATTTAATCCACACACATATTCCATTCCTATTTCGGTCAGGATTATTAAAATCCGAACCCGATTCTCTGTTTTCCTTTTCTATAATTACAAACTGGCTTGCATCTCTCGCTCATGTTTCTCACATGCTCTTAAATAATTTATCGCCATTCATTTCAAACATTAAACAACTCAAATCGGTTATTTTTCAAACATCTCTTTAATACATGTATAATGCACATATGATGCAGGTACACATGGGACATTTCACAACGTTTTCACTTACGCTTCCGTCTTGATGCGCAGATCAAATGCATGGTATTCATATTATTAGGTATATCATAATTTTAATAAGACCCTACCCCTTACATCTTAGCTTGAAAACAATTTCATTCAAGCTGATATATGCACCTAGGAGCGTGTTACAATGTTTTGAACGCGCTCTCTTTGCGTGATCAATGAAATCGTGGTTATCCCCGAGTCGACTCGTATAATCCAGGAAGTCTGTTTAGAGTATATTTATACCAACTACGAGCCCGATCTAAAATCCTTGTAGAGAAATGAGAATTTTGCTGTTTTATTTATTTTTTGGCTTTTTTTCTACTTCAGCCCAAATTATATTGAAATGCTTAAAAAGGTGGAAAGGCCGATAATTGTTCACTGAACAATTAGTCTACTAGTTTATGATATATCTGTTCTTTTTTAAAATAGAAAAAAACATCCTGCATACAGATTAATAGAGGAGAACGGAAGACCTTCTTTGTTGCTGTAGCAACAAGAGTTTCTAGTTTTATTTATATTCTTGCAGATATTTTGTTTAAGCTATAGTAATCCTGGCTTTGTGAAATTTGGTACAATACAACTTAATTTGTGCTAAAGAATTTTTTCTCATTTTATTGAAAAAATTAAATCACAGGTTAGGTAAAAAAATTCAGCTGAAATTTAATGAAAATGGCTAGTTTCAATATAGTACTAGAACAATTTTTCAATGTAAATTTAGCATTCAATATTTGGACTTGGACAGAGTACCTGGCTAAGCAGCCAGTCATTGACAACAAGGGGTTCATAATGTCAATTAAAATTCCTAATTTTATATATTTCTGTTTGAAAGAGCTCAGTACTCTCAGTACTTTGATTTATATCTCTGTTTGAAGGAGCTAAAGTAATCCTGGCTTGTCGAGACTTGGAGAAGTGTGCGGCGGCTCAGGATCTCATCAAACAGGAAACACACAACCAGAAGGTGTTCTGTAAAAAACTCGATCTCGCCAGCTTCAAGTCCATCAAAGAGTTCACTGATGACATTAAAAAAGGTGTTTGTTCACTGTATACAGGGAAATTTTGCCCCCATTTTATTTTTACCCCTTTCGCCCTATCCTACCTTGGGCGAATTTAAAATGGGTCAAATTCAAAGAAAACAATATAAATTCTTAAACAAAACTGATTGGGCGAATTTAAAATGGGACAAAATTGTTTTCAAGTGTGAAAAGGCAAAAATAACATGGAGCAAAAATAACCCTGTATACAATATGGGTCCTTTGTACAGAGCATAAATCTTGTCACAAAGAATAAAGTCTGTATTTGATATATTCATGACCACATTTACAATAATCAATTTATTATAGGTATTACCAAATCTTACTTCTTTAATACCATTACTGTCAACAAAATTGATTGGATTGACATTTTTTTTTTCTTTAAAAAAAACCTGAGTCCCAGCTGAAATTCAATTTTCAAAATGAACACAATTCCATGTATTACTTTCAAATTCCTTAAAATTTTTAGTCCTGCTTAAATAATCAATGGGATTCAAGGGGACAAGAAATTTATTTACCCACCTCTAATGATCCCTTACCTAGTCATTACAAAACTATACAACTCTACAGCAAAACTCGGTACTAACAAAGTCGCTGGGACCTATAAAATAACTTCGATATATCCGTAATTGATTATAACCGATTAACCGTATAAGAAATTCATTAAATTTATATAGCTGGGGATCGAAGATGAATTTGCAATATCTGTGTTCATACTGAACAAGTTTTACTGTACAACTAATAAATAATAACTACTGTATATCACTTAATTTATGCAACACCATATTTTTGCGAAAAAGACATTTACTCTTTATTTAATAGTGAGACAAAATTTTCATTAATCGTGGTTCTGCTCTTTATATTCTAAAATCTTTAAGAAAACTAATGTAAGCAAGACTGATATTTTTGCGAGCACTCTGTCTGGTGCAATTAAAGTAAAATAAAGTTTTTGTGAATAAAAATTGATTTTAAATTACAATATTTACATTTGCAAATGTTTTCCTTTATATAACACTACTGAAGGCAAGCGTTTTTATAACTGTGTAAATACAGGTACGGGGTCAAGAGGTTATAGATGTGCGTTTGGATAAACGTTCGACGTAATTTCTCTGTGACGTCATAAAGGGTCGACGCGCGTTTAGTGAATTACATACATGCCGTTGGGTTTGAAAAATTAACGCATCTCACACGTTAAAAGTAACAATCAGGCAAATATAAAGTATGAATAAGTCACAAATGTAAATATAAGTAATAAGGTATCATTTTTTGAGTTTTATTGAGATGTAAAACGGGTTGGCACATGATCAAATCTTCCATAAAGCCCTTCGGGCTTTATGGGATTTGATCACGTGACCAACCCGTTTTACATCTCAATAAAACTCAAAAAATGATACCTTATTTCTTAATTAATAAGACATGCATGATTCAAGTTGTCTCTGTCGTACATAATTTTGACGTGTATTGATACCGGTAAACCTCAAAAGAGAGAAAACACAGATACATGCAACTCATAATAAAACTTCTTCTTTTTTTCAGAGGAAAAATTTTTGGACATCCTAGTCAACAATGCAGGAGTGATGCACTGCCCTTACCAGAAAACTGAAGATGGGTTTGAGTACCAGCTGGGAGTGAATTATCTTGGTAACAAATTCATTTTTAGTTCTGCAGATTGGATAAGAACAGATTTCAGATTTAAATAAAATTTAGTTTTTTCAGCATTGTCAATAGCAACTCTCTCTCTCTCATGCCAATTCTCACAAAACAAAACAACCATATTAATGGAAAATTAAATAATTTTAATTTATACACATGGACTGATATGGGAAAATTCAAATCAAATGACAATTTTTTTTTTCCTGTATGTTTACTGTCTAATTTAGGTCCAGTCCAACTCTCTATGTTGTTTCTATTTTAGGTCCAGTCCTTCTCACTATGTCATTACTGGATCTTCTCATTAAGTCTGCACCCAGTCGTATCGTTAATGTATCAAGCAGTGTTAGCCAGGCGGGACATATAAACTTCAGTGATCTCAACTCAGAGAATGGCTACCATCTGACTCTCGCCTACAACCAAAGTAAACTGGCTCTCTTGATGTTTACAAAGGAGCTGTCTAAACATTTAAAAGGTAAAACATAGAACTTTGGACCTCAAACATTTTTTTATGTGAACAATGAAGTGGGTTGGAACTTGGAAGTCCCAAACACTTTCCCTCCAATATTGTTAAGTTTTTATCAAGCCCAT